TCTTCCTTTTGATCCGATAGGAATGTTTAACTCCATAACCACGCAGTATATCCTGGACTTGATAAAGCCGGAGGAGCTATGCGATCTCACATCCGTTAAAGTCCTTGTTATGATGATAGGAAGTCCCGCTTCTGGTAAATCCTTCTTGTCACGGCAACTGTCGGAAAAATACAATCTCTACTGGATTAATCAGGACACTCTCAAGACCAAGCCCAGATGTCTGAAAGCCATCCAGGAAGCCGTATACAACAAGAACGGAGCGGTTCTCGATCGTCAGAACTCTAAGAGCGCAGAACGTGCAGAGTTCTTGAACCAGTTCATCCTCCAGACCGGTCAGATGCTTCCACACATCGCTGATGATACAATAGCTGATGATACAATAGCTGATGATACAATAGCTGATGATACAATAGCTGATGGTACAGTAGTTGATGGTACAGTAGTTGATGGTACAGTAGCTGAAAGTACAGAGACTGACAGTGTCAATGGGTTATTACGACCGCGAATAACAGGTGTTTTATCCATAATAGTGTGGTTTGATGTTCCTAAGGACTACGTTCTCCACAATCTTACATTCCGTCAAATTGATAAATACAGTAAGGAAAAACGACCTACGGAGGTACCTGTGATTGCCATCCATGGCTATTACAAAAACGTAGAACCTCCTCACACGGACTCTGACCAAAGTTTACTTATACGAGGCAAAGACTACCCAAAAGAAAATGGATCTGACACCCAGTTTGACGCCATTTATAGAATCAAATTAAACATGATCAAGCCCGGTCCATTTTCTAATGATGACTCCAAACGCTTATACGGTAGCTTCCTTAACTGACATTAGTCCTTGACTGATTGGTAGTCTGGTACCACATGGGTAAAGCCCGAGCAAGTGGGAAGGGTTGGGAAGTGCATTTTTGAGGATGAGGATGGCTTCAATCGTGTCCGTTACAGATATGGAGCAAATACCGGCGTCGATTTCCTTCGGCTTGAAGAAGGGTTCATCCAAGGGCATAGCTGCGAAATGAACCATACGGGGTTGAGCGTTGCTGGTCAATAATTGCTGGTCAATTACGACGAATTATCATTCCACAAAGGAGGCCCAACCCCCCTTAGTTTTTCTCTTTTTGTTGGGATAGAACTAGAGCCCTTTAATTCGGAAAATAATGACTCTTTACTTGGGCTCAGCCTCTCCTGCTCGCAAGCAGATCCTAGAGGGGCTAGGGCACAGTAACGTGGTGTGTTGTCCCTCCAATGTGGACGAGACGTTGTCGCAAGAGGAAAGAACACATGAAGGTAATGTGCATCTTCTCATTGCCAGTAGTATATGGTGAGGAGGTAACTTTATGGTGAGGAGGTAACTTGTGTAACGATTTTAGAATATGTGATGGAAATCACTAGGAGGAAGACGGATGCCGTGTTGTCGGATAAGTTGAAGGGTATGGATTTCGTAGCGGAGGACTACTTGGTATGTGGGGACTGCGTTGTGGTCAATGACAACAACGAAGTATATGGCAAGCCTGCCAGTGCTGAGCAGGCGCTGTCCTGGCTTCATGGCTACTCGGGCACATGTTTCTACCTTGTCCAAGCGTTGGAGGTCACACATCTAGCCACCAGGCGTCGGGTAGTCGGCACCGAACGGACGACATGCTGGCTCGACCAAATTCCGCTTGAAGGACGGGTGGACTACATCAACGATTCAGGTGCACTCGGCGCTGCCGGCGGCCTAATAATTGAACACCCCTTCATAGAGCCCTGCATCCGAAGCATTCAGCATGGCACAAAAGAGTCCATTATGGGACTTAGTCCGCAACTTATACAAGAACTATTTCAGAAACTCACCGTGTCCTAGATAGCAAACGTGTCCTAGATAGCAAACAACATGAGAACAAAACCATATAAGTAGACACTCTGTATGGATAGGCAGACACCCTGCGTGGACATAAGGGACAAGTAGTGGGGTGGGCGCTCTAGTTAGGATCAATCGAGAGCTGGCCCTAGAGGGGCACATGCTTTGTAGCGATGCCTAGTGCTTCGTCCAGGGACATCCGTCTCGCCGGATTTTTTTCTAGGAGTGACTTGATAAATTCTACTACATCATTTGACAGATCGGGTCGGCAATTTCGATAGTGTTCCCAGTGGATAGGTTCATTGATTATAGATAATTGTAGGTGTATAGGAACGCGATGCCAGAAGGGAAGTCGGCCAAAAGCACTGATGAAGAGAGAGCATCCGATACTCCACAAGTCGCGTTTAACACCATCGAACGTGTTTGCGGTTTTGAGAAACACCTCTGGTGGTGTGAAGGCATTGGTGCCTTCAGCGTCATAAATATTAAGACTCTCGCTCGAAATATTAAAGTCAACAAATTTAATCTTGAAATCATTCTTCAACTCTGTCAAATCAGTGGGGTCAATTAATACGATAGTTAGTAGATCAGATGGTGGTTGAATATTATCCTTTTGTACCAAATCATCAATGAGTATGTTGCTATGACCTAGTTCAGTGGCCTTGAACATCTGGGGACCAATCGATTCGGAATTTTCGCAATTATTCATAACCCATTCTTCGGGTAACTTTTGGCTGGTCAATATATTCTCTGGCTTGATGTCTTTATGACATACATTCTTTCTTCTTAATTCATCCAGACCATTCAATATTTGCCTAGCAACCTCCCAAATACCCAACTCCGTTAGAGTGCAATCATAAATCCCATCTTCCATAAAAGTAAATAAACGATGAGGAAGATATTCCAAGATTAATAAACGGTCTCCTGCACTCGTCTCAATACTGGCTCGCAAATCAACCACATGATTAGATCCTTTCAATTTTTCAAGGATACGAAATTCCTTATTCGCCTACAAAAACACCGCTTGTAAGAGACCCGTTTGTGTAATATAACGTTTGTGTAATATAACGTTTGTGTCATATAACGTTTGTGTAATATAACGCTTGTTCGCCAGCCATCATGCCTCAACTCCAACTTACTCGGTCCCATTCCGTTATGATCTCTACGTCACGCTCGTCGCCAGTGAAGTTCGCCGCTGTCATCCTACTCAACACCGAACGACAGTGAACCTTTGCAGCATACGGTTTACCCTCGTCTAGGTTGTACACTAACCAGACCTCATCAACCCCTAATCATACGATAATTTTCGGTCACGACACCACCTAGCCGCAGTCAGAACATCACCACCTAGCCGCAAGAATATGATAATCCCTCGGTAAAATCCTCCCTCGGTATAATCCTCCCTCGGTGATGATGGCGGCGATGATCACCCAAATCCCAGCAAGCCGTTACCTTCGTACAGCTTCCTCAAAATAAGGTAGCGATCGATTCCATACCATTTTCTATCATCGCTCGCCCAGAACATTTAACAGCACACACGTGTGCGATGCTGGGGAAAATTCCGCTATTTCTTGCCGTCCAGGGCCATGTAACTATTCGAGGCGGCGGGCTAGTCATCGGAGGTCGGTACTCCGTGACTTGCGACGGGGGCCTCACGAAAATAAGCCAGGTTGACGCAAAAACAACTGCGGCGTCGACGTCCACCGCTCAGGCGAGTCAGCAACTGGCCGCCAGTCAGGCAGGTGGAAACCAGACATTGGCTTCAGTGGATGACGGCCGCTTGTTGGAGGTAGGCGAGGGTCAGGTGGTTGCGCAGCGAATAAAGACGAGTGGTCTATCACTTCAGTCCTCGTCGGATTGGCTGTTGTATTCGCTGGACACATTTGAAGGGGGAAGTGCGTGGAGTCTGAAGTCATTGAGTACTTGTGGTTCCATGGACGTGTTTCTGGGCGGCGCCTGCTTGCTGGGGTCCTCGGACATGGTTAGCCGGACGTTCGAGGACTTGCCAGCGCATTCCGCCGCCAAGGTCACGGGCAGGTTGCACCTGTTTGACAGCTGGGAAGGCGAGAGCTGGTCCCTCGCGGCAGATGACGTCGTGCGCTTCACGACCAGCCACCGCTGGTGCACCGGCTACCAGTCTACCTGCAAGACACAATCACTGAACGTCTGCGGTAACGAACAGGGCGACAAGCTAAGCCAGCGATTCTCCATGACCTGGCCGCATAGCAACACTGCCCTCACACTCACCGCCACCACCACTCTCGGGACCAAAGATCGTTGCGACGCTAGCTGGGGCTTAGATGACATCGCCCTCTATCTCAAACCTGTCTGAGACCCGCTTGGCTTACCCCTCGATTACAGAGTTTCTGAGTAGGGAGGCCCCGGAATGATGGCCCCGACACCTGACGGCCTTCAATAAGTTTCATACTGTTACGAACAAACTTGGTCCGGTTGTGTGGGTTGGTTTTTTGAAGGAAAATTGATGAAGTCATCGGTGGTTTTGCAACAGGCCGACGTGTGGAATAGGCGGGTGCTCGGCGCTGCTTTGGTGAATAGCGACTTGTGCCAGCCGGAGCTCGACAACCTTGCGGGGGCCCGAATGCTGACCCTTGGTGTGGCCGGTGAGCCCCCAGTATCGGCCGTTGCATTGGCACCCGAGGTCGAGCTTGAACGACTTGATGACATACATAAAGGGTCGGAGTTGGGTCCTTGCGAACCGTTGACGAAGGAACCCTTGCGGAATTTCGACGTATTTAAAGACTTGAGCAGACTGCGACTCTTCCACGATCCTAAGCAAAGTGCTCCTTACGCGCAGTCTGTGGTGTGCAATGAACTTAGAAAGTTCTTGACAACTGTGGTGAAGCCCGAGCAAGTGGACAAGTGGGTAGACTCGGAAACCGCGGATAAGGTGTGGACGGATGTGTTCGGTAGAGTCGAGTCCGAGCTGCATGCCCAGGACACGGGCGATGCTCAGCTGGAGCTGTTTGCGTCGAGAAGGCTGGAGCAGGGGGAGTTGCCGAGTCTCCTGCCAAACGTGCCAGAAGAGTGGAGAGAGGTGATGCGGAGGTCGGCGGTCAGATCAGACCGGCTGAGCCCAGACTGGTTCTGCCCCTCAGGAGTTGTTCTGCCGTCAGTCTGTTGGGACGTCGAGTCGGGTCGCGGATGGCGGTCCGGTTCGCGCCGAATGAAGCTGGCGCTAGGCAGTGCACTTACCGGTGCGCTGCTCACCGCGGTCGGATGTGTCTGGTACTTCTGGCCGTCGGCAAAGGAGCACGAGGTTGCGGTCAATACGGTTGCCAATTTGACGACTGCTACTGCTAACTTGACGACTGCTACTGCTAACTTGACGACTGGTCCTGCTGCTAACTTGATGACTCCCGCAACAACTCCGGCGGTGACCGTGCCGGGGATGTCGTTAGCGGAATTGCTGGCGATAGAAGAGTCTTGCAGTGCGTGCGGCTATAATTACTGCACCTCACACCTGACCCTCCGTAATCCTGACTACTTCAACGGGTGGCACCGAAATGCATTTCTTTGTCTCATTTACGACGGGAATGACTTCAGGCGTGTCTGTTACAGATACGGAGAGGATACCGGCGTGGATTTCCTTCGGCTTAGAGAAGGGCTCGTCCATGATCGCAGGAACGGAGGGTGTAAGCCATCAGCGCGCACCCTTTTCCCCCTTGTACAGACCAGACCAATAACTAAGAATGCTGCGAGCCCCCTCCGCCTATTAATTCTTGGTGGGTATTTGTGGGCAACATGCACTGAAGAATGAGCACTGCAAGACCGAGCACTGCAAGACCGTACGATAACGAATTGGATCCCGTGGAGACGACGGTGATTATGGAGGGAGGGGCTCCGCCACCGCGGCCGCCCTTCAAGACGGCTTGGACTTTCGTATTGGCCGCACTCTTGGCTGGTTTGACTGTCAGCTTTTGGGTTGCCGGGCGCACGGCCTACGCGTTTGTTACGTGTCTATTATTTCTGTGCACGCTGCTCGCTGATGGACACCCCAACGCGCTCGGTGCACTTAGCTGCCTCGCCATCCTTATGGCCGTCACGAATTTCGTCACCAGCTATCAGGACATGGATCGCATGGTCCACCTTCAACTACCTCTCGCCCCCGTCAGCCTGGCTGCCCGCCATCGCCAACTCTACGGTCTCACCGTCTCGCGCAGCCTCTTCCAGGACTGGACCTGGAAATTGGTCAAAGACCTCTGCCGGAACAAAAGCACTCAAGCCAAGGCCCTCTCATACCTCGGCGGCATGGTCCTCTCACCACCCACCGCCATCACTGCGGTGGGCATCTCTTGGAAGGCATTCAGATACGTGTCTTCACTCGGCGGTTTTTAACCTCTTCACTCGGCGGTTTTTAACCACTCCAGACCACCTGTCGAAGCTGACCTACCACGACGGGGGAAGCTCACCTGTCGACCATCTGTAAGTCGTCAGAACTAGGCGTAAAGATGTCGTACCGGAGGTGCAGCCGTAGTGACCGACGACTATGATCGGTTGCAGAGGGCCACCGTTAGCCTTGGGGTATTAGCTTTGGGTGTATTAGCTTTGGGTGCATTAGCTTTGGGTTTTATTGCTGACCCTTGATGAAACCCTTGGTGTGTAGTAAAAAAATCAAGAGGTAGTTTCGATCTCGACACTGGCGGGGAGTACGGAGATTTTGGCGGGGTAGTAGCAGCTGCCTTCGAATCGGACGCCGGAGGTGCATCCATAAGTGGCGGCGGACTGGAGCAGCCAATGGCTGTTATGGCATTGAGCAACGTCATTGTTGTCGCAGGTGTCAGAGAGGGTGGCGAAAGGGGGATGGGAAGCGGCGGAGAGATGTTTGGTAGTGCTAAGGGGTGTTTCGGCGGTGATTTTGAGGTCGAGACCTGGCGAGCCGCGTCGGTGTTCAAGAGTAAGGTATAGTTCGGGGAGCGTGTCCTTGTACAAACGCGACCATTTTTGTTCAGCTTCCAAGTCCGCCTTGTCAAGACTAAGTCGTTTATACACCAGATTGAAGCTGGGGAAGGTATTGAAGCTAGTTACTTCATCCAATGATTGTAATGAGTCCATACCCGTAATGGAATACATCTCGTATAACCCGTCGAACAACTCAGGAATCATGCTTTTGTGGTTCGCAACACAATTCTTCTGACGTACACACGAATCCACGAAACCATGCACGTATAACGTATGGTATACCCGCGGCCCCGTTTCAAGCCGCGGCAGTCCGGTCTCGTCCTTTGGCGCCTGATCTTGCGACTGATCTTGCGCCTGATCTTGCGACTGATCTTGCGCCTGATCTTGCGACTGATCTTGCGCCTGATCTTGCGACTGATCTTGAGACTTAATGATATCATCCGTTGCATTGGAACTAGGAGGGAAGGTGTCATCCGCAGTCTGCATGCTCGTGTCAACAGCGAGAGAGTTGACAGGAGATGTCGGGTCGTTTTGCTTTTTGAACATATGAATCAGATATTCTGTCAGAGGTAGTTCCCTAGTTCGCTGTAGGACACGGACGGTGTCTGCATTCTGG